CCATTAATTTGTAACTTTGTGAAGTACCTATTTGTATCATATTGTAGCACCAATTGTGACATATATCCTTGGTCCCAGTACCCCAGAAGAGCTAGCTGGGTATGAAAATATAGATATTTCTACTGGTGGTGAACTGTGTGAAAATATCACATACTTAGGTAGGGATGATTCTATATATATTAACTCATGAAACTACAAAGCAGATGTGGCCTACTTTGTTATTCAATTCTACCTGATGCCAAATAAGTTTACTTGTTTTACGGTTTCAATTTCTTTGATACACAGTTTTTCGCATCATTCACATTCATCCTTTAGTAACACTACACCAATATAGAATCGCTCTTACTGGACCTCTACAGAGAACAGTGAGAAACTGATGGTGCTTTCCAGTTTACCAGGAAATTACAGTAGTTTAGTTTAACCCATTAAGCTGCAGAGCTTCCCCATTGACAAGAAAAATTGTCTGGCATTAGACAAGTGAAAGAAATAAGTAGGGCGCACTGGGGCGCATTGCGGCTCAATGGGTTAACTAGAGACATTGTCAGATTTTTTGGTTAACCCACTAAGAACCCATTAAGCTGCAGAGCTTCCCCATTGATGAGTAAAGTTGTTTGGCATTAGACAAGTAAAAACACTATTATTAACACTAATAATAGTTAATACTAGTATTAACACTGTAAATGGCATGCACCCTGATGCGCCCTACTTTATTATTTTACTCTGTCTAATGCCAGACAGTTTTACTCATCAGGGGGGGGGGTGCTGCCACTCAATGGGTTAATTTTGATTGCCATCCTTGTGTAATAGGTCGATGTGGAATATTGCAATGTCCCAGTGGTCTTCAGGTAGCCTATGTCAGTGGTATGGACAGCAATAAATCCAGTAAGGTGAAGAAAATTGTTTTGTTTTTAGGATTAGGAATGTTTAACTGCATTCTAAAGTCTATATTTGTATATATAACGTAATGCAGGATGGATGCTTTTTCAAGGAAGAGGAAACAAAGCAGTTGTGTGCCAAGTCTGAAGATAAAAATTTTAAAGGAGTTGATATGTTGTTGACATCAGATTGGCCAAAAGGTGTTACAGAGTATGGAAATAAGCTGGTATGTCAAGTTTACGTTGGTTATGGTAGTGGTACTATGATACTGATGGTGGTAATATGATGGTGGTGGTATAAGGATGATGATGGTGATGATGATGGTGGTGATGGTGATGGTGGTAGTGATGATGATGATGGTGGTGGTGATGATGATGGTCAATGGTGTTATTTGGTAATGATGATGGTGGTGATGGTATTGATGGTGGTTGCGATGGTGATATGATGGTGGTGATGATGGTAGTGGTGGTATGATGGTGGTGATGGTGATGATATGATGGTGAGGTATTGATGATGGTAGCTTGGGGTGGTATGATGATGGTCCATGATGGTAGTGATGATGATGGTGGTGATGATGATGATCAATGGTGTTATTTGGTGATGATGATGGTGGTGGTGATGGTATTGATGATGGTAGTGATGGTATGATGGTAGTCAGGCAGTGGTGGTGTAATTTCTTGTGTTGGTGATTTGAGATTAAAAATATTTTGACTTACATCTAGGTTGATACCAGTGTTGATCCAAGTGAAACTGGATCGGAAATCATCTCCCAATTAGCTATCAAATTAAAACCAAGATATCACTTTACTGCACTAGACAATGCTTACTATGAAAGATTACCATATAGGTACAGTTTAAACTTCTACCAAATTGATGTATAGATCGTGCTATTCACAATATAGCTAGTTGACCTGGTGGATAATTTCTCTTGTGTTTGTTTACACATCATGTGTTTTTTCCAGAAATCACAAAGTGTTACAAGAACCTGCTCGACATGTCACGAGGTTTATCAGTTTGGCAAATGTTGGCAATAGTTCAAAGAAAAAGGTTGCTATTTGTAATTGTATTTAGTTTTCTTCAGTGAACAATAAATTTAAAACAGTGTTACAGTTTGTTGAAAGAAAATTTGTGGAGTCCAATGGACAACTTGCATGTTAGACTAAATTTTTATCTAAGTAAAGAGAAGGGAGTCAAACACCACAGCTAAAAAGAACATGATGAAATTAGTAAAATTGCAGAATTTGGTTGCGCAATGTTGTAAAGCTTGGAAAATATGGCCTTGCAAAGTTTCCAAATTTTGTATTACGTGTGGAAATTGTTACCATTTTCGGCTCAAAAATGGTAACAATTTCCGCACGTAACACAAACATATACAAAATATGCAAACTTCGCAAGGCTATATTTTCCGCATTTTCCAACATTTCGTAACCAAATTTTGCTATTTTACTAATTTTAATAAGTTCTTTACGGGAATTAACTTTTTTTTTGCCTAGATAAAAAAATTAGTCTGACATGCAAGTTGTCTATTGTTGTCCAGTTGTTTGATAAAAAAATGTTTCGAATGTTGTAAAGGCCTGTTCATAAGTTCTGAGCACTGTTTAAAGAAAATTATACTTTTTTAGTATCTCTATGCATTCAATGTTGTACCACTGTGTCACATAAAGCCAGATGAATTGATTAAACAACCAGATGACGTCACAGAAATGCCTTATGGGAAACTACTTAGGAACAAGGCTACAAACCAGAACTCTCAGGTAACAATCAACAATGGGTGATTCTAGAAAAAGACTAAATTTTGATCAAGGTAAGAAGAACGAAATCCAACACCACAGCTAGAAAGAGCGTCTTAAAAGGAGTAAAATTGCAAAGATTGGTTGCTAAATGTTGTAAAATGAAGAAAATATAGCCCCGTGAAGTTCGCAAATTTTGTATATATTTGTATTACGCGCGGTAAAATAACCACTTTCGGCTCAAAAATGGTTATTTTTCCCGCGCGTAATGCAAATATATACAACATTTGCGAACTTCACAGGGATAGATTTTCCTCATTTTACAACAATTCACAACCAAACTTTGCAATTTACTCATTTTAAGATGCTCTTTCCAGCTATGGTAATGGATTTCGTTCTCCTTGTCTAAATCAAAATTTCGTCAAAAGCTGGAATCGTCATTGAATATGGACTAAACTAACATTCATGCTGGATAGCTCTATCTGTTTTAGTAAAACTATTCTTCCTACTCCTAGAGGTCCAAACAACATTGGACCAATAAGAGAACCCTAAATTGAGAACAGATTAGAATTGTTAGATCTATCGAGTACAAATAAATTAGTTTAGTTTCCTCCTGTAGTATCTCTTTACAGTAAAGCTAACTAAGTGTTAAAATTAAACCTGCAGCAAAATTCTGGTCAAAACTTCTTCTTTGATTTGGACTCCAAATCTGGGGGACAGAAACGAAAGAATGACGGTTTGTTCAATTCTTTTCAACTTCGCATTCCCTTTCAACATACACATGCACCTTGACGCTGTTTATAATTACACTTATATTTCAGATGGTAACCAAAGACAGCCCACAAAACGGAAAGGTCCACGTAAGTTAAAGATTCAGAAAATTTAAAAATAAGAGTAAAGAAAATGAAAACTTCTTGCAGTAATTAAGCGCGCGTACGTAGGTAGGTTTTAGACATATTACCATTTCGATTTGCAAAATGACTTTGGAATTCTTAAATGAAATGGAGATAATATGACATTTTAATTTAATATACTGTATCAGATTACAAGAATTTTCTACCTTTTTGAATTTGGCTCAATGACTATCATAGCCTTAGTTTTAGACTATTTTAGGAGTTGATACTTGATTGCCTTTCACTCCAGGTTTAAATGATAGCCAGCTACCCCTCCCCCCCAGGGTCTTAGCTAGAGGGCCGTGTTTGCCGTGTTATCGCGGCCAAAAAGGGAAAAACACGGCTAGATAAAATGAACGCGGTTTCATTATTTATATAAGGCCGTGTAGGTTCATAAAATAACAGACAGAATTTCTTCCTATTCACTGTACTTTGTAAGAAAGTTTGTAAAATCTATGGTTATTGTTGAAATTGGCGAAATTGATCTGCATGTGATGTTTTAATGTTTTGGTGGATAATGGGAACTGTATGGTGTTAAAATGGTTTTAAATACCCCCAAGAGTTGCTGAAAAAACTTAATATTTTAATGTCAGTGCGTAATATGAGCATATGCTCGCCTTGTATTTGGTTGCAAAGCATAGAACAACAACAGGTATTGTCTGTTGTTGGCGAGCATAACTAGAACCGTCATGTG